TCCTATACTTCCTGCCTGGTTACTGGCCAATCATCATTTTATTTATCAACCAATCAGAGCAACACATTCACAGCATACAAAGCAACATTACCCATCACTTGTTGGAGGAAGTGGGTCATTAGGAGTGGGCTTTTAGGTTTCAAAATTCCTTATCAAGACCAATGTCTCCCTTCTCTGTCTACTGCCTGGGGATCAGGATATAAAGCTCTCAGCTACTGCTCCAGCTCCATGTCCGTCTGCTTTCCACCATGATAATCACGGACTAACCCTCTCAAACTATAAGCAAGCCCCCAATTCAATGTTTTCTTCTATAAGAGTTGCCTGGATCATGATGTTTCTTCACAGCAATAGAACAACAACTTAGACAGGTTTGTGTTTTGAGACGTGGAGCCTTTCAAAGGGAAAGTCACAACCTGACACAAAACCTAACACATTAGCATTTTTCTTTCCACAAAATTTTCATGACATCTTGTTACATTAGGTGTTGCAATGGAACATTAGCTGTATAAAGAGACAAAAATAGAGAAACATAAAGAACATGTCTTCTCAGCCCAAACACAACACATCTTTTTAGATAGGGAAGGCATTTGGAAGCACTGACAAATTATCCTCCATGCAAACTTGATTCTTGTAAAGTTATAAATGTGAAAGTTAAACAAGTTTGAAACTTCAGCAAGGTACCTAAGTGATAGATCCCATACTATTTCAGGCACTTACTTCTCAAAGGCATTTATTTCATAGTAAATTTCCTTTTCTATTTTTTAAATATAAACTATCTTTGATATATTTAAAACACCCAGTGATAGATTTCCTGAAGTTATTTTCATACAAAGTATATCACATCTCTCATATACTTTGACCATGTATATCTACATTCTCCCTTCTCTCCCTCCTCCCCCCAACTACCAAGAGTAAATTTAGAATACATGAGAGAGAGGTATTATATTTGTCTCTCTGATTCTGAGTCTTACTTATTTCACTCACTATAATCTCCGACTGCTTTCATTTTTCCTGCAAATAACACAATTTCATTCTTTGGAGCTGAATGTAATTTTATCATATTCATATATCTATATCTATTTCTCACATTTTCTTTAATCTGTGGTTAGATACCTAATCTGATTCTGTAACTGATCTATTGTGAAGAATTCTGCAAGGAGCATAGATGTGTAAGTATCTGTCATGCATTGAAACCTTGCTATTTTACACAGACACGAGGCAGTGTCAGCAACACAGGGCCACTTAGAAATGAAGACTTTATTACCATGTAGTGATCAGGGACCCTTGTGGATGTGGGGAAACATATGTGTTGCATGTAGATTTTTTTCTGATTTTGCATGTAGTTCTTTGCAGTTTACCTCTCAGAAAAGAATGTAACACAAATACTTAAACAACCAGATAGATGGCCTGTCTGATTTTAACTTTGCTGATAAGTAATATCCATATTGTTTTAAGGTGAGAAATATTAATGTGAAAAGATACTTGCTAAGAAAAACAGTAAATATCATCAGCAAAAAACCTCCTATTATCTCTGAAGAGATATGTTCTCTCTGCATTGAATCAGTTTTAATTACACATTGATTTATTTTTATCTGTTTCAATACACACAATTAAAACTTCAGTACCACCCAGTGTGAACTGTTCTAGGTGGACAATTCTCCAGAAGGTATCATTTATTTTATTTTATTCTTTTAAAATAGTGGTCATGAGATCTAACAAGCTCACTTGGATTAACATCCTTTCCTTAGATTAACATTAACATGTGTCTTTGGATGACAACTGATAGTGTGATTTCTTCTCAGGAATAGCAAGAGAAGGACCAAGAAGGGAAGCATGGGAAAGGGAGGGAAGAGGCAAAAATGAATGAGTTGGGAGTAGAGTGAAGAGAAGAGAAGAAGGAAGAGGGTGGAGAATGAGGAGAGAGAGCTGGGTTGGACACAATTTGTGTGTGGCTCCAAATACCCATGATGGTATTGAGAGGTGGAGCCATGGGAGCCTAACAGATCATGAAAGCAGTATCCTCATGAAGATGATGGACCCTTATAGAAAGAGTCTAGGGGATTAAGTAGATCTGTTGGCAGAGGTTTGGACTCTGCAGCTAGCAAGAGTGCCCTTACCTTAGTGACCACAACAATAATGACACCATGATTGTAAGCTTCCAACTTCCAAAAATATAAGCACTGCATTTCTGTTGTTTATAAATCATTCACCCTATTGTTGTTAAGTCATTCTAGGTAAAACAGGCAGAGAAAATTCTGTTGCCTCAATAATGAAGACTTATTCCATATTTTCAAGCAAGTGCTATTTCTATTCTTTATTCTGTGTCTTATAAACATAACCTTGCTGGGTGGTGGTGGCGCACGCCTTTAATCCCAGCTCTCGGGAGGCAGAGCCAGGTGGATCTCTGTGAGTTTGAGGCCAGCCTGGTCTACAGAGCAAGATCCAGGACAGGCATCAAAACTACACAGAGAAACCCTATCTTGAAAAACCAACCAACCAAACAAACAAACAAAAAAACTAAAGCATAACATTTTCTCATATGTCATGTGCTGCATAATATACTTTAAACGTTATCCCAATCATTGAATGTTGTTACCCAGGAAGGAGGCTTGCAATAATTAGGTAAGATAGTTCTCTCCAAAGACAATTTCAGGGCATATGAGCAGGAAATAGAGTTCTAGCAGCTAGGGGAGTAAGTCCCAGAGTTCTGAAGGAAGTTGTGGGCAGCTTGTCACTGTATTCATTCCAACATTAAAATGAAATGATTACTTTTATTTCTAACCCAAGTTACTTATTTTAAAATGAAGCCTTTGCCTTTTAATTCCTTCCCTCCCTGGGAATACTAGTCAGCTGCTTTTCATTGTACAAAATATGCATTTCAACTACCATGAAGAGTAGATTTTTAAAGTAACTGAAAGCCAGATGAACAGTCCTGTGACCCTTTTATCCTAGGTTTTGAAGCTATTTTTCTCGTGTTTTTTTTTTTTTTGTTGTTGTTGTTAATGAAATGGTCAACTCTAGAAAAAATTCACTGATTCTACAGCACATTATTTCATTGATGATGCCAAGAGGAAACACTCTATAACAGCGATGGGAAGCTATTCATATATTTTAACTACTGGAAAAGACCAACTTTTTCATGAGCATAATATTTTCACTTCACTATGAACTGGTGACAAATTTAATCACAAATATAAACAAATTTTGAGGGCATAGATTAGAGTCCCCAGCCATGTGCTTTATTTTCAGAGATGGGGGCTAAGTCCTTACAAAACAAGAGAATTATTTATTTATTATTCAATGTGCATAGCAAATCTATTTGATAAAACAAAAAGCTCTGAGATTTGCGGAGACTTCCACTCTCCATGGGGACAGTAAGCACAGTGTCCTCCCTCAGATGACCAAATGGCAGTGGGAGCCACAAGAAGTCAGGGTGCTTTTCCTGATTTTCTGGTTTTAAGACTATTGAGGAACCACCACTACATCAACTTCCACCATAGATTCCCCTAGTTTCCTCAAACTACAGGGGAATCATAGATTTTCGGTTGATGTTTTGATGAAGACATGACTTCACTCCCTTCTGTCCAGCCTTCTTTTTATAATCCAACAGGAAGTATAAGGACATAGCAATAGAAATAGACGGCATTGAATGAAATGAATTCATAAGGAAAATTGCTCTGCTTACTTGGAGAAAATATTTCAGATTTCAGGCATCCTTGGATTTTGCAGAGATATTCATAACTTCCAAATCTACAACTATGAAAAAAAATATATCTTCACCTTTTAAAAGATCCAGGAAACAGCTTACTTATTCTTAGTTTCAATTACTATATAAAGTGCTGCCCCGAGCATTACAAGCTGATCACACCAGTGGTTCACAGAAGGGCAGGTGTTTTACAGTCACAGAGGTGGGCAAATCAGAATTATAAAACTTGACCCATCAAGTTATGGGATATTTTATGGAAAAGAAATAAAAGATGCTTTGAATCTAGATAGGCAAATAAATGCCTTTTAAAAATGGTACCTTTGCAGAGAAAATACTCTGGCTTGAATGTATAAGAGAGAGTAGCAAAGGGCTTACACTATGTTTTGTGCAATGCTGTATCAAGAACAGCCTCTGAGTATTTGCATAGACTCTCTCATTCTCTAGATAGAAACAAAACTGGTGAACTTTCATAGGAAGATTAGCCTCTAATGAATCCTTCCAGTCAAGACTGCAAGTTCCATAAATCTTGAGCAAAAGTGTGAACAGCTCTTCCACCAACTGTGGGAATTGTCTATGCTTAGGTGTAGCTAGCATTTCTAACTCGACAATTTCTAGACACCATCTTTCCATATTTCATCTGCTTTAGGTACACATATGCCTACTGTAAGAGATACAATTAGACTGCAAATATTTTTGTACCAAAGAGACTTGTAAGAAATATTTTTATAGCAATAGTCCAAATGGATTATGTCTGTGTACCCATATTCTACATAATGTAAAGAGTCTAAGTTCCTCATTGTTTTCATTCACATATTAATAAGCCACATTCTCATAAATTCTGGGATAAGGAATTAAAATTTCTCCTTTTGTGTATCTGCCTTTGAGTAGCCTCGAGTCTTAGAATTATGGAAGTTGTGATGGATCATTACATTTCTAGTTTACTTGAATTAAAAAAAACTAATTGTACATTTTTTGCAAGATTTCAAATCAATAACATCTGCTATCTTAGCCATGGATGATTTAATTTTTTAACACGTGCTTCCAACCTTTAATTTTCTGCAAAGCAGCCACATCCATTATTAATTCATCTATATTTCCTCATAGCGAGTCAGACTTAAGATCCTCCATAAATATTTAAGAATACTGCTGCAAAATAAACAAAAACTTTACTTAACTTTTAATTGCATGTTTGAGAACCTGTGATTGAAAAAGCAACAGAAAGTGAGACAAACACGGTCTTAAAAATCCAGAGGCACAACACACACACACACACACACACACACACACACACACACACACACACACACACACACACACACACACAGACAGCGATTAGAAGATGAGGGAGGCTGGACTTCTGCCATAATCTATACTGTATGCTTTGCAATGTGACTTTCATTTGCTGCACATTGAACTAGTGTGTAAATAGACAGGCCAAATTTAACTCAGGCTCACAGCTGCACTTAATTTCTGATAGCTTGTATCCCCTCCCCAACACATGCACAACACATATACTCTTACCATTAACACTTGACAATGTGAATGGAACGTGTCAGAACAGACTACATGTATCTAAAATTATGAGCAACCATTTGAACTTGAATTTTCATTATCATTAACAAGTCTTTTGAGGAAGATGCTGGTATTTACTGCTTTTCCCTCAATAGTCTGGAAGTACCCCTAATACCTGGGAATGTGTCCTGGCTTTGAAGTAGGCTCTTTACTGGTTTACCTTAAACCAAGATTACATTGAATTAGGGAGAGGACTAATAGATTATGACTGATGTCTGTGTGGTAGAGTTTTGAGAGAAGCCACAAGAAGCCACAGGGAGAACACACCACTCTGTAAGCCCAGGGAAGGCAAGGACATGAGCTGCAGCAGCTCTGAGAAGGACCAAGATTCTCCCCTAAAGCTCCAGAGACAGCATTGCCCCAGTAAAGCCATGGCAGATGTTTAGCCTCCAGAACTGTAAGGATGAACTTCCGTTGTTCCAGGTTACCCAGGGTGTGAAGGACGTGACGCTTTGTTACAGGAGCCCAGGGAGTGATACAGACTCCATATGCAAGATTCTGTCTGTTTTAAGGTGTAGGATAATGCATGTATACTATATGCAGAACACATTCACAGTTAAAATGATTATAAAGCAGTACTATAAAGCATCTTATCTGCCTGTAGGTGAAATAGCATGTTGCTACACCCCTACACGCTCACACGTGCTCGCATGCTACCATACCTTCTCTCTTTCCCCTTGTGCTCCTTCTCTACTACAGCCTTCTTGCTTTCCCCACAACCTAATAAACACACAACAGCTTTTCTTGGAGCTTCTCCTATATAATCATATTGAAATCAATATAGTTCGATCATCTAACGTAACAAAAACACATGAAATGAAGAAATGAATCAACTTGATAGGCCCTGCCTAAGCAAATTCACAAGTTATTAGCTAATAAATATACATTGAAACCATTACAAAAAGTCATATTTTAAATAATCATATTCATTCAGTTATTTTCTTTCATCCAACAGTTATTTAGTACCTGGGCCATACTTTATGAACTTCATTTTACAGAAGAGTAATGTAATGCTAATCAGTCCACTTTAACAAAATATATAATTTAAATCAAAGATAGACTATTTAATAATAATAATCTTTTTCTCACACATACATAAGCACTTGTGAGATTTAACAAAATTTCTTTTATTATAGAACATTTGACAAAACAATATTTTTTTTTCAATTTATGATCTTACTTACCCAATTAACATAAACATGTGATGGTACACATTTTATATTTTGTTACAGCCTAAGGCTTGTATAAATGTGCCTAATTTCAAAACTTACCCACTCTACGCATATGAACTGCTAACATGTTCATGTTTATTATGAAGGGAAGGTAGAAAAATTCGGTTGCAGACCAATTACTATCACATTGTGTTATAGTGGGCTACGAGGACATAAAGATTCAAAGTACCCAATTCATTTAGTACTGAAATGCCTGTGGATGTGAAATTTAAGATACCTTGAGAGGCATTGTAACATAAGTGTTCTCTGCTTTCCAGGAATCCTAGTGTTCCCAGAAGGAAAAAAAAATGGACTGGCCAATGATACTGTTGCTTTCTGCAGGCTAGGAAAATTTAAAGATTTATCCCAGATATAAAAAAAAAAATTGACAAACTACATTCAGAGGAAAAGAGATTTCCCATATGAAAGGCACATGTAAAGGTTCTAGCTGGGTGTTTTGGTGTATAAGTATAGTCCCAGATCATGTGAGGTAGAGGGAACAGGATCAAGAATACAAGGTCAGCCTCAGCCACATAGAAAGTTCAAGGACATGGTTCAGTAAGACCAGTCCCTTCATGAGCTCCAGCAGGACCTAGATGGGGTAGATGCTAGGGTGGGTAAACCTAAGGCCCAGTTGTGGCTCGGGTTCTAGTCAGGCAGGTCAGATCGACCCACTGGGGCCAACTGCCTTTGGTGAGGTGGCAGAGTCAGTTCCCCTAATGCATGCCCTCAGGGTAGGCTCATCCTTGCCTGTGTTCAGGGGGTGGGGGCCCTCTCTCCTGAGTGTAGGGGCCAGCTCTCTTGCTGCAGTGGCCCACAAGAGGCTAGGCCAGCTTTCCCAGGGTAGTGATGGGCGGAGCGGCCTCAGTATTGCCCTCTGATTTTCTCTCACTTGATTCGTAAGGCTACCTGAGGTGAAGGATTCCTGCAAGATCTCCAAGACATGAAATAACCCAGAAGAGCTCTGGTGAGGATCCAGTGAGGATGTTATACCAAAAACCAGAAGCCTTGAACCAGACCAATGACTCACTGCAATGAACAGGTGCTTGTCAAGCTGATGGGACAAAGGGGTATAGGACATGACATACCGAAGCCTCCAATGCCATCAGGACGGATGAAGAAGTGATGGAGAGTTAGGAGAGGAGAAACAGAGTTTTTTTTTCTGTTTCCAGTGTGGTTTTTGTTCTGTTATGGTTTATTGGGTTTTTTTTTTTTGTTGTTGTTGTTGTTGTTTCTTTGTTTGGTTCTTGCTTGTTTGGTTGCTTGCTTACTTTGTTTTGCTTTCTTTCATGGGGGGCATGCAACAAGGATGAGGGGGATGTATGGGGGAACTGGGAGGTGAACAGAATTGGGGTGCATGATGTGAAACTCTCCAAGACTCAATAAAGAAGTTTAAAAAAAAAATAAGAAAATTGAAGGATAGCCTGGCCTCCATGAAACAACAAACAAACACAGAACTGGAATTTTTAGGTGAGGAACCCTCCAGGTTAGAGATAGAAAAAAAATTGTATTAGAAATTTTAATTCTAGAGAATAAACCTAAACAATGTTTATCATCTAAATGTTAGTTGTCTTACATTTGACCCATTGACATTATTCTTTGGAAAAATCAATATCATATATTTATGTATTAAATATTATTTAGTAAAGGAAACACTTAACTGATCATTATGAGTCCACTGACTCGGCAATAATTCAGTCATTATTTATGGGTTCAAAGACCCTAGGACTGCACAATTGTATTCCACAGCAAGCATAGGAAAAGTGCACTGGATTTGTTGTGAGCAGTCTTCTTCTTCTAACATTTTAGAATGTGAAATTTAGAACATTTCACATTCTAAAATGTTAATGGAAAAAGGTAAGAAAGAACTCACTAATATTTAGAGATTACAACTGCTATGTTAAATAGATGAACTCTTATAGTTTAGACTGGGTCAATTTGTTCTAAAAAAAAATAGTTCAATATAAGTATAAAAACGCTAGACTCCTAAATTAATCATTTTGACTTTTGGTCTGTCTACTGCTTAGAACAACATTTTCAAGCCATGGAACCTTCATGAAATTCACATATTTGTGGGGAAATCATTGATTTTTGCTATGATTTTAAAAAATGTTTAAACATAAAATGAAAGTATGAGGAAAGCAACATTATAAATTGTATTATTCCTTTATAAAATACCATATTAAAATTCTAGTTATAGCACCATTGGTACATTAAAGTTCCTCAGCAATCATATATGATCAGTTATCCACATTAGCATGTTTGTGCTCAGGGAACACTGAAAAAAAGAAAATCTTGTATTAAATAACATGTGTGCCCAAATGGAAAAAGCATTTCTGTATTCTTTATATTTGGACGTATGTGATACTTGACTCTTCTTCAAATATGTCTTCTAAAAAGATGTTCCATCTTTTTTCTTCAAGGATTCTAGTGCATTTAAACTTTCATTATATACTCATTTTCAATTTTTTAAAATTTGAGTTTCTAGGAATATGAGTCTTCTTACTGGATATTATTTTTTCTGATTAATTTTTGGTAGTAGATTATCTATCTGTATGTAGCTCCTGTTTTGTTTCAATTGCATGATTTTCTTTTCTTCTCTCCTGTGAGTTGTAGAAGTGTTCTTAGAGGGCAGCCTCTTGAAGTGTCTTGACTTTTCTCAGTTGTATTAGGTTTTAATTTTTTAACCTGAAATTTCCATGCAACACTAATAGCATACATTTAAATTTTATGTGCTGCACAGCACAGGATTAAGAGTTTTATTCTCTCAGATGCTCTCTACCTATTGCCTGCCTCTGTTCCCTATTCCATGACTCTGGAGGAGCTAAGGCTGCTTGTAGACTCTAGACCAATGACTATTCCCAGTACCAATTCACTCGATGAGCCATTCCAGGGTCCTGGCTTTTAATGCAGATCTTACTTGGAGCCTTCTGCCTTGCACACATTCAAGGTCACTCTGTCCCACTGTGAGTGGCAAATGTCCTCAGGACACTATCGGAGTTCTTTTAATCTACAGCAGCTTATACATTCTGTATTCTGGCTTTGCCACCTCACTTCATTTACACAGACTCCTGTTACTTCCCTCGACCTTGACAACATTTTAAACACTTTGAGATGCGTCTTAATTTCTAGATGTTAGTCATCAAGGACTGCGGAACAGGGTGAGAGAGAAGATACATTAACTTAAATTATTTAATTATCAGAACCAGAAATGAGTTTGGGGAGTGAGTGGGAAGAACAACCTGACTTTGTCAGGGATAACTTTAGAATAAACAGCAGAAGGGTTGATGGCCGAGAATGGTAGAAAGAGGCACATCTGCGGGATTTTTCTGCAGATAGTGGAGAATCAGAAAAGAAGACAGAAGAGATGGCCTTACTGGGAGAGGTTATGTAGGGACTGTCGCAGGGAGGTAGTGCTAGTGTGCTAGTGGGGGGCAAAGAGGCTGTAGCCTGAGGAAAAAAAAATGGGAGCCCCAGCACGGGTGCTGCAGCAAGCAAAATGGATGTGTTAAATAGCCTGAAGGAGCAAGCATAGGAAAAGTGCACTGGATTTGTTGTGAGCAGTCTTCTTAATCTTCATCAATGATATCCCCGTCTAGTTCCTCAGCTAGAAACCTTGCAGCTATCCTTGACTTAACAGCCATCCTTCACAAGATAGATCCCTAATTCATGGAGAAACTGTCTTTGGCCTTCAGGTCTGAGCACATGTTTACTCCTCCAGGCCACTTCTCTATTTAAAACTGCAAAACAAGTGATCTCTCTCTATAGCTGAACAATTCTAGTATTGGATACTCGGCTCTGTTACCCTTCCGCAGCACTGCTTACCTCCAGTGTACTGAATGAATTCATTTACTGTTTGCTCATTTGTTACTTCTCACTAGAATATGCACAGCTCTGTGCACAGCATGGTGGCACTCACCACATTCCTGAATTACAGCCCAAATGCTGTTCCAAAAAAATATTTCCCCCAGTGTTCCGACTAAAGATGTTAGACAAACTTTTCACATGAGACTATAATATTCTACTTTTCATTTGGTCTGGACAAAGTACTCACCAAGTAGGGAAAGAAATTTTAATTCATAAATAAGTGCACATATTCAAGGATTCATGGCAAGCCCTTTCTTGTTTATGGGAGTTTCAACAATACACCACAGTTTGACCTGGGACTCCCTATTTTCTCTTCTGTCTGCTTCCCACCTGCTGGGATTACAAGTGTGAGCCACAATCTATCAATGAGCTATATCTTTTGCACAAGTTCATTCTATACACACAACTTGGAAATTTATATATGTATATATTTACATATATTTACTAACAGTTGTGGCATAAATACTTAACTTTTCATTGATGAATAGTGGTACTTAATTCCATTATATCAGTAATTCATTTAGAATCCACTTTAGTTTTTAAGTTATAATTGTCTTTTTAATTGAAAAAATTGCAGGGTTGATGAATGAACATGTTGTGTAAAGTTCAAGACAAGGTAAATATATTTATCTCCTCAAACATTTATTATTTCATTCTGGTGACCCTTTGAAATTCTTTTTTTGTAGCTTTTAGAATTACATAGAATATTATAATTTTTCAAATTCACTCTGCTGTGCTGTAGTTCACCAGAACTATAGTCCTAACTATAACCTGGTATTCATTGATGAACATTTTTAGCTTTCTTTTTCCCTATTAGAACTCTTACACATATTTAAAATATTAATTTGCATGATAAATTCTAGTATGGATTTCTAATCTTGTCATTAAAAATCATTAAAAATGGACCTCATACGTCCTTTCTCCCTTTCCTCTACAGTTGGCTTCTGGTTCTCTGTTTTTGCTTTTGTGTTCTCTGCCTCATTCTTATTCACTGAAACTAAAAACTGCTGCCTCTAAAAACCAACAAATGGAAAGTCAATGACCTGATGGGCTCAGTTTGTCCGATAGGTCCTGGTGCACACTGGACCATCATTTTCTACATAGACGTTACAGTCTTCATTGAATTCAGCTTCATGGTTGTAAGGAATAAAAAGCTAATAAGAAAGTGGATCTTTGCATGTGTGTAAAAGAGTAAGAGCATCTTGTAAAAATACCTTCAAAGTGTGTACACAAAAAACACCAGTGGAATTTAATAGAGTTGCATGACGTTTTCCCAAATCAGACAATGTCTCCATCTATGCTGCAGAGGAGGAGGATCATTCCAGGAATAATCATCAAATTCTCTTATTTAATGAGAACACAAAAACCCATGGCAATTCATTCTCATTGTCTGCCTTCTTCGTAATTTAAAATAGTGATCTTTATGCTAAATGAAAAGGCCCAGGCTAAGATGCAGTTTATGATGAAAAAGGATCCACCATTTCCATTTTCTGTACCTTTTTCTTGCATCTTGTTTTTGTCTTTTTCTTTCTTTGAAAGTAAAATGAAAGTAAGTTGCCAGGCTGATGTTGAAAAATACAGTTCCTAGAAATTTGTGTTTTGTAGATCAAATTAGTTAGTATAGGTGAATTCAGATCATTTGAGACTCCCAGAAGTTCCCAGTGAATTTCTTTCTCCCTCAGAATGGGGCCCCTATTTCTGTTGGTGTACAGGTGGCAAGCTGCACACGCTCAGGCTTTGTTGGAACGTGCCCTCCTCCATCTTGTGAGAATTGCACAGAGGGTATAGAAAGCAGCATGGAAAGGTTTCTAGTCTGAGGACTGTGCATGTGCAAATATTTGCTGATGAATTTAAAGAAAAAGTATATTTGACCTTTAACCTGAAACTCTATTAGAAAGAAATTCAGAAACAAAACTACATGTGTCATCTGAATTATTTTTAACATCAGCATCCATGTAAATTTATTATGTTAGTCCTTAAATTACTTTAAGTTTAATCATCTGTATAACTTATTCTTATTTTATTGCTATAATCTCTATATCTTAATCACATTTAGACTTTAAAAATAAACATTAGATGATTTTTATAAGCTATAATTGTCTAGAGTAAAAGGAAGCAATTCTTATGAGCAGAAAATGCCTTTGGGGGAGAATACCTGATAAAATGATATGGGTTATTATGAATTCTAATAGTTTTTGCTCTTATGTCTGTGTAATAGTTTATTTTTTACTTTGTGATTTTTATAAAAAATTGTAAGTAACTAGGACACTTTCTATTTTCCAATTTAATTGATCCTACAGGGTTTGCAACAAAATGTAATCTTGCAGAAGGAAAACCTGCAGCTTGTTCTAATTTCTTTTTATTTTCCCTTTGTGAAAATCCAAGTCACAACCCAGCAAATAGTACAAAATGATTTTTAGTGTTTGAACCTTATTACAGCACATGGGCTAAATACTAGAGCTCGTGTACCTTATTAGTTCTGCACTCAAATATTTCACAGATTATATTTTCCAAATATATACATATATATCTAATATATATACACACTTCCAATATATATTTTTATGTATGTTTCATATATATGTATGTATGTATGTATGTATCTCCAAATCTTATTCAAATTTTCCACTAGAAAAAAGTAGGGGCTAAAAAACAGGCTAGAGGTTAAGTGCACTGGGTGTACTTCCAGAGGATTGTGGTTTGATTCCTAGAACCCACACTGTGACTCACTACTATTTGTAACTCTGTTTCCTATGGTTCATTTTCTTCTTCTGATTTCTGTGGTCACTAATGTGTGTGTGGTACACAGACTTACATACAGACAAAACAAAACAAAGCAATCTTAAAATGTACCTCATGACTTGTATGTCTTGGGTTTCACAACTTCCTATACTTCTAAAAATGCTTATTATTTTTAATATGCCTTTAATCAAAATAAGATTATATCACTCCCCTCTTCCCTTTTCTCACTTCAACCTCTCCCACGTCCCCTTCCTCCATGCCCTCCCACTCACTTTCAAATTGATGGCCTCTTTTTCTTTGTTATTATTATTACACACAGACACGCACATGCACATGTATGTGTATACACACATGCACAAATACATAAATATAATCTCACAAGTCCATTTTTTGTTGTTTGCATGTACAATCAGAACAGATCACCTTGTATTGGATAAGCAATTAGAAAGTCTTCTCTAGGAGAACCTGTTTTCCTTTCTTGTAGTCATTAGATGCCTGTAGTTCTTTGTCTAGGGGTGGGACCCCATGAGATTTTCTCCATTTCTGCATTAGCATGTCTATTGATATCACCATTGTTCAGGTCTTGTTTTGGAAGCCACTTCTAGGAGACAATGTTTCCACAACAGACTTCCTTGCCCTCTGGTGCTTACAATCCTTTCTGCTCCCTTTTACATAATATTTCCTGAGCCTTGGGTACAAGAGTTGTGTTGTAGATGTATCCATTGGTGCTGTGACATCCATGATTCTTTGATCTCTTCAGTGTGTCCAGTTATGGTATGGTTTTCTGCAGTGTTTCTCCATTTGCTATAAAGAGGAGTTTTTTGTTTTCTTTTTCTTTTCCTTCCTTCCTTCCTTTTTTTCTCTCTTTCCTTCTTTTTGATGAGAGTGAGTGAGAAATTTATCTGTGGGTATAAGGATAAGTATTAGTATGCATTTAGGAATTATGTTGGTTTAGTAAAGTGGTGGTATTAGTTCTCTTTTAAATCCATGAGATTACTAGTCCCAGGTAGTTGGACGGTTTCTGGTATGTGGCCTGATTGTACTCCTGTTGAGTGTGTCTTGAGTTCAATTAGACAGCTGTTGCTATGCAGCTGCCAAGGGAGAGAAGAAATAACAATAGTCCTACCCAGCTGTGACACGGGGAGCTGCAATAATGACCAACACGACAAGGTATCACCAAAGATGTAATAGTGGCATTAAGGCTGGCAATAACCAACTTTCTATACTTTAGTTTCTGCTCTCTTCTCAACAGTGGAAGTCATGCTTAAACAAACAAGCAAACAAACAGAAACACACTTTGCTAGTGTATGTATCATAATACTTTGTCAGTTTTAGCACTGGCAATTTGTATAACAAAAGACATAATTTATCCAATTATGTAAACAGCCTGTTATTGAGTACCCTGTGCTATAAATACACACTGACAAGTCAAGATTCTGCCTTCAAGGATCTCACAGTGGAGCATAGGCTTAAAGATGCACATAAAAAAGGAAAGATGCTGAGCATCAGTGACTGGAAAGCCAGCCAGTTCAGGATGACAGTACTTCTTGTTGGGTAGCAAGTACCAGGAAAAGTTACATAAATATTCTGATTACCATACCTCATAGAGACAGAAGTTTGCCTATCAGAAATGCATCCAGTTACTGCAAGGGTACTGATGCTTAATCATGCTTGGTATGGCGAAATGCTATTCTCTAAGCATAACAGCCATTATTTGCATAGTAAGAGCAGCCATGATAACTCGCAAGAGACTCTCAATAGATCAGGTCTCTTGGCATCCCCTCATAGAGGAAAGAACTCTAAGGATTTGTTAGTTTTTCATCTGAGAATACAGGAAGTTCCTACTGTGCCCCTCCAGCCGCATGCAAATCTTCCACAGTTACACATGGTCTTCAAAGGTACAACCATGTGTAGAGGGTGGAAAAATAACTGAAATCAGGGTGAGGGGTTGAGAACTGTCATTCAATGCAGTATTGAGGAAGTTATCATCCATTCTGGGGTAAGACTTTCTATAACGCTGCTTTCGGGAACTCTGGTAAAGTCATTGGTTTGTCAAGCTAGACTTGGGCAGAGTCATTACTTAGGTCAGTCACTGATGCTCTATTAGGGATGGTCAGACATTTATTCATTTTTTCCCCAGGGAAGGTTAACACAGCACATGACTCCATCATTTGAACAGACATTTTCTCAGGTGCCAAGCTAAGGTGTGGGGATCAAAGAAAGCCCTGAGTGAATGTAAGGAGTGGAGGAGCAGATGAAGTCCCAAGTGAACATGGATTATTGACAAGGACTCCAATGCCTCTGACACATGAGAATTGTCAGTCTTCACCAGTTCATGCTCAGGGAATTGACAAAGCCCCTTTCTATCCTTGTTCATTCTTTTGGTGTTTATTGAGTGTCTCTTATTATCTTCACTTTCTTGAGTCTCCTATCGGCTTATAGCATGTCTACCTTCTTCTGATCTTGATATTTATGGAGATTTCCAGAGGGTAGAAATTACCAAAACAAAACACAAAATAGACAAGCAAACAAGCAAAACCCTCTTATTTTATCCTTTAGAGAACAGCCTGCATGATTTAGGTTCTGTTTCTTGGATTATGAAATTCATTCTTCCCCACCTTCCTTAACTTCTCCAAGTCCTATGATTAAGACTTAATTCAAATAATGTCCTCAGTGAAGTGTTATTAAGCTTCATACCAAGAGGATATTTATTCTCTCATTAGTTCTCTTAAGCCTCTATTTACTAAGCACTAATGCTCTTGTGTATATGTCCAGGAATACCCATCCTTCTTCACCAGTGCTGTACCTTCCTCTCTCACATCTAGTACAATGTTTGATTAAAGCCTTTTATGTCATAGTTAAGAAGTGAAAACCTTTACCTCAGCACTGACCAGTGCTAGGAGTACAGAGAAGTTGAGTTTCTCCTTTATATAAGCCACAGAGAGTATTTAATTGTTTTCTAAACAACATCAGCAGATTCACATAACAGAGCTCTGAGCATCTCAGCAAGATACAATAGAAATCACTTAACATTTTTTTTGCTTGAATCTTTTGTCTTAATGATGTCTGTCATAAGGCTGATTACCTTCAAGGACCTAGCTTGGGAAGCTGGAGGGGGTGGGTTCAGTGGTTATGAGTGTTTGCTTTGGAGTAAGGATGACGAGTTCATGGCCCAGTACCTGTATAACCAGCTGGGCAGCCCATGCCTGCCTTTGACTCTTATAGCACTTGGGGGAAGAGATGAGAATATCTCTGGGGCTTGCTCCTTTCCATCTCAGTTGAGGGTGACCCCTAGGTCCAGAAAGAATGTCTGCCTCAAGAACTGTGTGCAGAGCGAGAGAGGAGGAAAGCAAATGCCCTCACTTTGTCTTTGTCCATGTAAGCACAGGTGTGCACGCCTGCACATACGAGGACACAAACACTAACATGCATAAACAACACAAACACATGTTAAATAAATTATATTTTAAAAGGAATATGGCTGGAAAATTTTAATAACATTAGCTGTAAAGTTGAATTTTGGAATAGTTTTGACTATGATGAATTTTTTCACACTATCCTTCTTACCTCTACTCATATACTATCCAAACTCACTGGGTTACCTTATAGTTCAAAACTATTATTTTCCCCCTGAAAGAATAAAGTCACCTATAATTCCAATAAACTGTAGCCCTAGTTTATTACAGAAACAATTTCATCTTGACTACTATGAATAAGATGCTTAAATTTATCACAATAAATTTCCTGTGTTCTTGTTTTCCATTTGTTTTCTTTTTTCTTTTATTAAAATAGATTTTTTTCACACAATATATTCTGATTACAGTCTCTCCACCCCTGCTTCTCCCAGTTCCATCTCCCCTTCCATACAGATCCACACACTTCTGTCTCTTGTTAGAAGACAAACAGGCATCTAAGAAACAGTAATAAGATAAAATAAAGAAAAAACAAACAAATCAGAATATGACACAACAAGAAAATTAGCCATAGAAAAAGCACAAGAGACACATATAGACACAGAGATACCCATGATCACACACACACACACACACACACACACACACAAATCCCATAAAAACCCAAAATTGAAAGCCTATTTGGCACAAAGGACCTGTAGGACAGAATCAAATGTCCTGACAACATTATTAGGCAAAGAACCTCCAGAGATGCTGTTGAGTTCATTTTCTGTTGATCATCCACTGCTGGGCATGGAGCCTACCTTTAAGAGTACTTTATTTCCCCACTGAGATTCCCTTGGAGAAAACTAATTTTTCATTTGCCAGTGGCTATCAACTGGAGATAACCTCTGGGTTAGTGATGGGACATGTGTCCACTTCTCCCTTCAACTCTAGAAGCCCATATGATATAGACTCGTGCAGGCCCTGTGCATGCTGCCAGTCTCTGTGAGTTCATATGTGTGTCATTCCTGTTGTGCAAAGGAGGCCTTGATCCCTTGGTCCTCCATCCCCTCTGGCTCTTACACTCTTTCCTCTTCCTTTTCTACAAAGTTCCCTGAGCCCTAAAGGGAGAGATTTGGTGGAGACATTCCATTTAGGGCTGAGTTTTCCAACCTCTCTCACTCTTTGCATATTGTCTGCCTGTGGGTCTTTGTATTTGTTCCCATCTACTGCAGGAGGAAGCTTCAATGATGATGGTTGACCAAGGCACTGATCTATGAATATAGCAGAATGTCGCAGGAGTCATTTTATTGCTACATTCCTACAGCAGAACAGTAGTATTCGGTTTTCCCCCTAGGTCTCTGGCCTATTAGTCTCAGATTCTTGGCAACTTGTGCAGCGTTGGGTATAGGTTCTATCTTATGGAGTGGCCTTACATCAAATCAGCTATTGGCTGGTTACTCCCACAAGCTCTGTGTCACTACTGCATTAGCACATCTTGTAAACATGTCATCGCAGATTGATGGGTTTGTAGCTGGGTTAGCTCCTTTGGCAGCATGCAGAGAACTTTCCAGAACCGTGAACACTACTAGTTCATAGTGATGAAGAAAGATTTAGGTAGGTAGTAGTTCGACTTCTCAATGTTCAGTGAATTGTGTAGGTGTTATATTTAGCAATAGCGCCTTACCAATCAGTTTATGAAGAGTCATGGATAGCCTTGGGAATAGTATGGATTGTTTGGGGGTTCACATGGGACCTCTTTGGCCAACAACTTGATTATATGTAATTCATTCTTGGTACTGGAAGCTATAATTTGTTGGTGAGAGATGTCCAGTTTGGGCTCTGTCTTCCCCGTGGGAGAGTCCATTTATATATACATACATGATGTGTATATATTCTAGGCAGCTTTTACTCTATTAGGCTTCCACAGGAACCACCAATGGCCTTAGCTTCAGCTGTCTCTTCTGTGTTTCTTCTCTCACCCTGCTCCATCCCCCTCCCTGTTTGAGCCTCCCATTTCAATCCCAACTCCCCCACTCATCCATCAGTACCTATTCTATTTCTCTTTCCTGGGGAGGTCCATTCCCTTTTTAGGTTGAGAGGGGCAGTAGAAAGCTCTTTCCCTTTGAAGACCTGATTCTTAACAATTTCAGACCTTTCAGATCTCTCATAGCCTCCTGGAAAAAGCTGGTTTTAGTGTTGAAATAGGAGAACTGGACGTAAATGATTCAGGGGATATCCAGAAAAGGCTTGCCTATTTATAGTCAGCCAGAAACAATAGGATCAATTAAATTGCATAGTTCTTTCTCCCCTTTCTCTCTCCCTCCCTCCCCCTCTCCTTTCTCTTTCCTTCCTTCCTTTCTTTAAAATGATATGCCAAGCTTTATGGAAAATTCATTTAATTCCTGGTCTCCTATTAAAGCACTGTTTCTCAGCTTCTGAATGAATTGTTTTGTTTTGAGACCCTGCTCTCTCACAAAAAATAGGAGAGAGACAGAGAGATTTTAGAGGATGAATACTTACCATGTTGTTTAGACGTGAAAGGAGAAGGTATTTGTGAGGGGAAAATGATAATCTGATAATCTGGTAATGTATTGCTTTGATATGTCTCTCAATTCTATTACATTCCACCACGCGTTAATCTATCATGATCTTGCCTCTGTCTCAAGGTTGGCTGTAGGACACTTGCTCTAAGCTAATGTCACACATGAGATCAGCTATTTCTCACCGTGGCTTCCCGTGGGCGCCTTGCAAGGAGCATGTTTATTACTCTACTGCAGCATGAACTGGCTTGCCACTACAAAGTCAGCCCCAGATACTGCTCCATTCTGCTTCATGCCATCAAACACTAGAAATTTCCCCGCTTACAGGTGAGATATCTGAGGAATGGAATCAATACCTTGATACAAGAATAGAAATTAAAATGGATTTCAGCTTAGGTCATAACCTAACCCGGTAGCTTTCCTCTCAGGGTTTTTCAGCTGAATACCAGTGTTACGAGGATGTTGAGGAGAAGGAATAAAGTGTGCCCACGCTTAGGGTAGGGTTTTATTCTGGAAAATTGAAACTCACTGATTTACCACTTCTTTTTGAAAGAAGAAAGAGGGCGCTTCATAGTTGAAGAGCTTGTGACCTTTTACAGAAATTAGACAGGTGGCTGTGCATGGCTGCTCTTACAGTGATGGGGTGGGATGGCCAGTCTAGCTGAGGCCGAGCCCTTCAGACTGCAGAGCAACTGGCTTAAGAGCTTTCTAGGAGGACAGATTTGATAGGCGATTCTACCGTGGTCGTTAGGTACTTAATGGTTAAATGAGTATGCAAGGGCAACTCAGAGGATGTTCTTAGTACCACAGATGTGTTGCAAACAGCAATATCCATCACCTGTTCTTATCCAGAGGCACAGGGACTGCCTTGCAAGACCTCACTAGGGGTTCATAACATCTGGCAGTTATTTCTCTCGGGTGCTTCTTTAATCCAGGTTCTAGGTGGTTGTTTTACAAACACACCTGTGTTCACTTTGCTTCATTTTCTCATTTTTACCCTCACCTTTCATCCTCTTTTCTTGTTAAGAGACATGTTACACAGCATCGCTGGAATATGGAGTCATGAGCTTGTTTCTGTCAGCCATTGTATCCAGTGGTGGAGCCAGAGGGTCACAGCCTGAGTGGGGCATACTGAAATGCAGCACCCCTTGTGGCCCCGGTGTTCTGGAATGTTCATGTGTATCTCCAGGTTTGGTGTAAGTGATGATGTGTATGTGACCTTGAGACAATATTATGTCTCTGAGTCAGAATCATCTGGTGTCTGAGGTGCTCTGTTTTGTTCGTTTTCTTTTTTTAATAGTAGTTTCTTATAGTTTGAGGATTCCATAATACAGATAATGTGTTTTTATTAAATCCATCCCCCTATTCTCTCCCTTCTAACTCCTCTACCACCTTTCCCTACCACTTACACATACTCATTGTTTTTAACCCACTGAGTCTTGCTGGTGTTTCCTCTATATGCATCGTGTGAAACTGTTTACTGGGGCATGAGGAGCCTGTCAGGGGCCATATTCCTGGGAAAGTTTGGTTTTCCTTTCTCCAGCAGCCATCAGTTGCCTACAGATCCTCAGCTTCATGACCCCTCTCCCCATCTAGGATGGAATTTTGTCTGGCAGGATCTTATGCAGGCCTTATGCATGCAGTCACAGTCACTGTGAGTTCATGTGTGCAGTGATGCTGTCACGTCCAGCAAATGTGGTTGTGTTGTATACATTCCCTAACTCTGGCTCTCACAAGCTTTCTTTCCCCTATTCCTCAATAAAGTGTAAGACAGATGCCACATTTAGGGTTGAGACCTCCATAGTCTCTGATTTTCTGCACATTGGCAAGTTGTGAGTCTCTGTATTTATCATCCACTGCTGTAGAAGGAGCTTCCCACATGAGGGTTGAGCAACGCACTGATCTTTGTCTATAGAGTTAAAAGTTTAGGGGTCAATGCATTTCTATAATCCTTTATTAGAATAGTAGTGGTAGGTTCTCCCCTAAGGCCTGTGACCTATCCATCCATGTGTTCTTAGAACAGTTAACCAAGAACCACACTAGATATGAGTTTTGTCTTATGGAATAGACCTTAAATCTAATCACAAAATGGTTGGTTACTCCTATAACATTGATGCCAAAACTGTAGCAGTGAGCATATCTTGACAGGCTACTCATTATTGTAGCTCTCAGGGTTAGAGCTGGGTAAGAGTGATGATTACTTTGCTGCCCTGGTAGTGTGTGTGCAGAGCACCTTCCAGCAGAATGCAAGCTAGCCAGAAGAAATGAAGCTTTTAGATTGGTGCCAGCTTGATTTCTCCATCTTCTGTGACTCAAGTGTATGATGTCTTCAGCAATAGGGTCTCACCATCAAGTTCCAGATAGTAATCAAGAGCTATGAGAATGGTCTATAGTATATGAGACCCCATTGATCAACAGCTCAAAAAGAGGTTATCCATGTCTGGCCTGGGATTTTTACTTGAGAGCTTACTTTGTCTAGAGGGAACACTGTCTCCCTATTATAGGATAATACCACGTAAACATTTAAAATCTGATGGTGTGTATATTTTAGTGAGCTTCTGTGGTAGGTAACTTGTTTCCATATGGCCTTTTTCAAAATCTTTAGTACTTGTCACCTCTCCCCACACTAATTTCTCTGCCATGTCCTCCTAATTGAACCCCATTCCTGCATTATTATTACCCTGTCCTTTTTCTACATAACCAGTGTTCTATTCCCTTCCTTTGAAATACCTCCTGCATAGTCCCTTAGCTGTTTCCTGACTTCTATGTATACTTTGGTTTAAACCTACTTGTCCAAAGAAAAGACTGATGCCACATATACTTTTTCTTACATAGATGAATCAAATTTGTTATCAGCCTCACAGTGTGCTGCCGATTAGGTTAGATAGTCTAGACAGAACAGATCCCAGAAATCCTCACACATAGTAAGTCAGTAAGTTCCCTATGAGTTTTAAATGGAACAAAGTAAAGGTAGTTTTTATTTCATGATTATTTCCTGAAGCAGTGAAATTACATTGAACTTCAAGTGCTCTCAGTATGTTGTGTTTTATTTGAAGAGAATCATTCCTCCGGCCAGTTGATATTAGCCAATACTAACTATGAAATAAAACAAAAGCACAGTAAAGTTGCATGTGTCAGTAAATAGTTCTAGAATTAATTTAGAAGGTGTCTTGCTTTGAGCTAGAGCATTTTAGAAAATAGCCACAGTCACAGTTCAGAACTGAAGAGCAGAGTTTTGAATAAGGTATGAAATAGAAAAGAGAAAAGATCCACACCTAAAGATAGACACTAGGCATGCTGTGTTATTTGTTAGAAGTTCTATTTTTAACTTAAAAACCTGGGAAGTATGACATCAGTTTTACATTTACTCATCAAACATGCAAAAATTGTTACTGGACATGTGGCAGCTGCTATAATTGAGTGTCCTTGGCTATATATAAAGTATGAAAGACACAGAGCAAATTATGGTTTCTACCTACAAAGACAGCAGAGACTATGGCTCAATTAGTTATACATTAATAAAAGTCTAAGCCAATTCATAATTCTCCTGGAAGGAGAGGAAGGAGAGTCAGCTAATTATTCTGTGGGATAAGTGTGAATAATTATTACAAATTGAGAATCCATTTCTTAAATGTGAATTAATTCATTTTTAACTACAAGTTATCAAAGCACATTATAAAATTATAATTATTAAAGCAGTGTGGAAGGGAGTATGAAAGTAGGTGGTAGTAGACACACTTATCAGAAAAGCCTGGAAAAACAGGCTGCTGTTTTCATATTGCCTATGTAAACAAAATGTCTCAGAGCAACTTATTAAGTATCTGGATGTAATTGTTATAATAGGTCTATAAATCATGAGCTTTTACTGTGATGGCAGTCAGTGAGTAATTTTTGAACTTTAAGAAAAATATCTTGAATATGTAGAGGTAGGTGTGATTTACTTATTTTCTTTTGATGTATTTACTGGAGCAAAAATATCATGAAAGAATTTTTACAAAATTGTCATTTGTCAAATAAAGCAAATTCTTCCTAACTTCATCCAGGAAATTAGTTTTGCTCTTGACAAAGGCATTATTGTATTCTTTTAAAATTTAATGTGGTATGCCACATATTTTATGCTCTATATGAAACACATTATAAAAAAATAAAAACATCAGTACAAAAAAGGAAACTCATAAGTGACAATAAGGATCATATTGATATCATTTATGGTCCTATAGCCACATTTTCAATGTCACAGCCATGCTTTCAATGCCAGAGCCAATAGAAGACAGAAATTAAGACATTTGGGCTACTGATACTACAGAATACAGGAAGAATGTAGTTAGAATAATGCAGCCATTAACTCAATATTCTCCCTGGTCTTTGGCTATCTTTATTTAAAAATGTTCATGTGCAGGTACAGTGGTATATGCCTATAATCCCAGTTATGATTCAGGTTGAAGCAGAAAGATCACTAGAGGATGGTCTATGTGTTCAAGGCCAGCCTGTGTAACATAGTATGACACTTAGCTCAGTTAGAATTCTATTGCTATGACACAAAGCAATTTGGGGAGGAAAAAGTGATTCATCTTTTGACTTAGAGTTAGTTCACCATTCAAGCAAGTTAGGGAAGGAACTCAAGGCAGGAACCCAGAGGCAGGAATTGATGCAGATGCCATGGTGGAGGGGTGTTGACTGGCTTGCTCAACCTTCTTTCTCATATAACTCAAGATCACCTGCCCAGGGGAGGCATGTTCACATCAGTCAATAAGCAAATATACTACAGGCTTACCTAAATCTTATAGAGGTGTTTTCTCAGTTGAGATTCCTTCTTCCAATATGACATTAACTTGTGTCAAGTTGACAAAACACTAACCAGCATGACTGTCTAAAATAAAATAAAATAAAGGCAAAATAAATAATGTAATAAAATAAAATGGCTCAACATTTCCAATTTGACATACTAAACTCATTTGCAGACATTTTTGTGAGCAAATTATGTATAGTTTATCAGTTGACCAGTATCTCAGCTTTCCTCTGGAGGACATATTTAAACTTTTAAGAAATCTTAATATTGGTGAAATTATTAAGGCCACTCCTTGTAGTTAAAAGGCAGGTTTATTTTGTGGGGCAACTTACAAGTGAAGGGATAGGCTACAGGGTCTGGGAAAGGTGTGGCGCAGTCTGGCAGTGCTCTCTGGAGAACTCTGCTCAGTCTACCTCCAGTGTCCAGGGTCCAGGAACCAAGAGAGCCAGCACATCTAGATCTCGGGTCTTCAGGGTCCTCTCTCAGCCCCACCTTGTAGGTGTGACAGTTACCGAAGCCTCAGTGGGGGTTGGAACTTCCAGATCAAAGCTGGAATGCCTACCTGCTACATCTCCCCCTTTTGTCTAAATAAGAAGGTTCTAACCTAATACAAGACTATATACAAAGGAATGGTTATCAAATATTGTCCAGGAGTAATGAGGGATAATGATCTAGATAAGATGGAACTACCACCAATGCGAACAATATCAAGGAAGAAACACATTCTAAAATACAGAGAAGGCTAGAGCGTAGGTAAACGGTGTGTTACAAAGAACATTCCAAAAGTGTCCTATCCTAAAGAACCTGAATCTGATACTTAATATGTTCTATCTAAGATATTATATATATACTAAGTTGTAACTATAACTGCTAGCCTTCAATCCCATCAAAGACCTGAGAAGGAATATAATGGTACCTGAGAAATGGAAGATGGATGCAAGCAACTTTTGGGAATCTTGCAAGAATAGACAGAGACAGCTGGCAGCCTGGACAGTCACTTAATGTTTTTCAGCATTGTTGGTGCATTCAAATTTGATATAAAACCTTAGACTCACAAATATAAGATAGATAGGATATCTTCTTTAATATTGTAACTGTAATTCTTGCTTGATAATTATTTTGTTATATGTAATTTTACTATGTCAAAGTTAAAACCTTCCTTTTTGAAAAAAAAAGAAAAAGGGGAAGTGCTGTGGATCATTGATTGATAAATAAAATACTGATTGGCCAGTAGCCAGGCAGGAAGTATAGGCGGGACTAACAGAGAGGAGAATTGAAAGAACAGGAAGGCAGAGAGGAGGAGACACCAGCCTGCCGTCCAGGGAGCATCATGTAGAGGCAGCAGGTAAAGCCACGGAATACGTGGCGACATATAGATTAACAGAAATGGGCTTAGTATAAGAGTAAGAGCTAGAAAATGGTAGGCCTGAGCTAATGGCCAAGTAGTTTAAATAATATAAACGTCTGTATGTTTATTTTATAAGTGGGCTAAGGGACTGCTGGGGCTTGTTGGGACACAGAGAGAAAAACTCTAGCTACATCTTAACACTTTAATTTTAGACACATTTAAAGACTAACACACTTTTTAAAACACCAATTTAATTAAGCCCTGAGCACTATTTTTTCAGTAAATGTCCATCCAATGAGCCTTCAAGTTCTCAAATTTCTGTTCATTCTTCTTCCATTAGTGAAAGAACCTGAAATCATCTGCTGAGGATCAGTAAGAATCCCCCCCACTCTCCCAAATTTTGTATTGGTCTCAAGAGAATGAGCCAGGAGCACTTATTCTGGATTACGTTGCTTTTCCACCCTGACTGCAAATCCTATCTAAGGGAGGAGCCTCAGGTAGTGGCTTAACTCATAAATCAGCAATTCATGACTGTAGGAGACAGGCTAAGCTTGAAGAGAGAGGATGGACTTAGTCCTGTGATAAAACTCTAGCTGCCTCTAATGGAGTGGGACCCTGAGTTTCTATTCAATGCTTCTGTTGGATAGACTCCTCCAACTTGACACATTCCTTCCAGGAGGGAGTTCTAAGACTCACAAGAGGGCCAGGGGAAACCTACATGAGTCTGGAAGCTCAGAAAGCCAGGAGAGTCACAGGCTCATTGGCAAGGTTGCAACAGCAGTAAACATTGCTAGGGACTGGGGGAGCATGCAGCTTTTGTGCCTCATGACTCATGCTGAGGTGGGCTCTTGGTGACATGGCTGTCTTTGAGTCACCCATTCTCCGGTGAGTACCCCTCATCCGTGCTCTGGAGTGATTCCAGTAAATTCAACTGCTTGCCAAGGAGCTAGACTTGGGTGGACTTGTGTCTTTTTTCTGTCACTAGTGTTTTTGGGGTGAATAAATGTTTGTTCCTTCTGCTGATATCCCCCCCCAGGAAGGTCGTACAACTGCTTCTTGGTAGTAGGGATCTTGATTTTTAAAGGCTTTTCCAACATCTATGTTCATCTGAAGCTGTCATAGCTGAACTTGAGGTGCAGAAATGCTACTTTCTCAGACTCTGTTAGCTCTACTATAGTAGACCCTTTGATCCCTTGCTCTGGATCCGGACACAGCCTGATTTTCCCAAGGCTTTGACAGTATCTTGAGGTTATCTGATGAGTTAAAAGTACTTTATATAAAATTCTTACTTTAGAAAGCAAAGAGACTTGATTAATTATGCAAAATTTATCAACATTTTATTCCTGCATGATCTCCATAAAATAGATAGTTGTCATTAATATGAAAACATCAATGAATGGTTTGAACTATTAATTAATGGTTAATAGAACAAGTAACACTGAAGCCTGATTATTACCTCATAGTTTGGATATTTAGCAACGATTTGAAAATTGAATATGTGTTAAATTTAACATGTTAACTTTAACATTTTTCCATGCAATATTTTTAATCATCAACTGATATACTTACCAACACAGTCAGGATACAGAACCAGTGACTGCTGGTCCATCCCTCACCCTGTTGACTACAAATCTGTTCCTAATGCTATGATTTTTCCTATTTCCAAAGTAGCATCTAAATGAAAGAATTTAATGTATAACATTTGAAAATTAGTTGTTGTTTTTTAAAATACTCTCAGAGGGTTTCCATACAGATATGTATATTAGTTCCTTAGTCCATTGTATTATTGAGTCATATATCCCACTATGTATGAGAACATTTGTCCAATCACTCACCGAAAGGCACACTGTTATTTCCAATTCTGAGTGGTTATGATCAATACCTCTGAAACAACACTTACATACAGGGTTTAGAATAAATATTTTTTTTTATTTCTCTTGGTAAGAGCAGGATTTGGGAGGTCATATGGCTGGGGTACTCTAAAACACATCTTCGAGAAGCTCCACTTTTTGTACTGTCACAGTGATGGGAAAGATTTGTCATAATTTCACATTCTTGTCAGCACTTGGTTGTGTCAGAGTTTTTTAAACTATATCTATTCTCATCAATGCACACAGCTACCTCATCATGGTTTTAATTTGCATCTCCCTAATGTTTAATGATATTGAACATCTTTTTATATGCTAATTTGCTGCTCCAGCATCTTCTTTGGAGAAACATCTGTCCCTTCCCCATCCCCTTAGTTTAGGCTGTTTATTTTTATCATTTTATTGAATTTTGAAGGCTCTTTAAATTCCATATACACATTGTTAGTTTGGTGATTTGCAAAAATTTTTCCACTTTCTTTTTCATTTTCTCTGTAGTAACTTTAAGAGAACACATGCTTGGGTGTGTTTTCAAGTCCCCATCTTACTGCTTTTATCTTCCACCCTGCAGCTTTATATACATCTTAGAGCACCACTCAGGAGACTGAAATTAGTGATTAGCAGCACCATACACACACGGACCACACCTCGAGGAATAAGTATGTGTCCCCAGTTGCTGGAGAAGCACTGACCTGCAGCATCCTGCGACTGAAATACACAATGGCCAACATTATTACAGGACTTGGAAAAAATGTTTAAGGGTGCCTTTTTCCTTTCTGAAATCTCTTTTCAGGAGACTAACACATCGTTCTTGAAATTGCTGTCATCCATTGAGACTGTTTCATAAGGCAAAAATGAATATTTGTCAACAGCCTCTTTAGGTTGCTGTAGAGATAAATGTAGGAGAAAAGGGCATTTTGTTTGCTCACCACAATCAAGGCTAAGTGAGAGAATTGAAGCAACTGTGTGATTAATTCAATAAAATAATTCCTTTCATTTGTTTGCTTAAATAAATCTTTATCTTGTTTTGCACTGGCCATAGATACTTGTCATTTAACTCAGTTTTGAAATCTGATGTTATATATATATGACTTAAGGTTTTTCAATGTCTTCGGTGATTAGACTTTTGTAGAAGCTCCACTCCTTCTGCAAGAGCTGAGTATGGCTGATGCAACCTCATGTTTACACACATTTAATCCTATCCCCTAAAGAAACTCCTACTTACTCCTAATTTCCAGATGCCAACATCTGCAATTAGAAGCTGGCAAAATAATTACCCTAACAGCTGCTGGAAACATATAGTTTGCAGGAAAATGTCAAATCTGTTTTTGAATGTTGAATTATCCTAAAACAACACCCAGACTCCTCTCAGTTGTTACCTAACCTTTCTCTCATTTAATTAATCATCCTATTAAATCAAATTTCAAAGAGACCACATCCTATCAGTCTTCACCACTTTTATATTTGGTGAGGAGATAGTAGGACTACATGGGGCATCAACTGTCCATACAAGGTGGAATTATGGTGTCTGAATGAATACTGTGGTCCCTTCTAATGCTCAGACCCTAAATTAAAATGGAAGGAAGGTTTTCCCAGGTCTACTAAAGAGTGACCATCTGCACCCTTCTGACAATCAATTTATTTTTAAAATTTGTTTTGTTTTCTTTTCTCAAACAGTTCTCCCTGCCTATAGTCCTCCCCCACAACCTGCCTTCTACCCCAGATCTACTCTTCTCCCATTTCTCCTTTCCCTTCAGAAAAGAGCAGGCCTCCCAAGAATATCAATGGAACATAGCCTATCAAGTTACAATAAGACTAGGCACAAAATCTCCTTTCAGGGCTCAGTGAGGCAACCCAGGAGGAGGGAA